CTCTATCTCTCCACTAAATATTATATTCGATTAATCAAGAATTCGTTACATCTGGTATAAATACAATAAACTAAACTATACAAAATATATAACATACGTTTGGAACCTGATCTTGTCGTTCATATCCTCGAATGCCTTGGGAATTATAGGATTAACAAATGATTCTCTGTAAGCTATCTCCAATGTATTTGCATCGCGAAGCATGTTAAAAGAAGAGGCGAACAAGAAAATACTAAAATAAAATACAGAAATTAATTAATTGACTGTGTTGCATTATACTAAGTAATAAGGTATACGGTATACCTACAATCGCTGATAGATATCTTGTACCCATAACATGTCATAATGTTTTTTGAAATCAAACTCGCCTTCGAATGGTATTTCGAAGATAATTTTTGTTGATGGTGGCTTCACATAATCATCAAAAACAAATTCTGGCTTCATCTTAACAGCAAGCGCATACTTGTCAATTAGAGGCTTTATACTCTTTTCCCATCTAGGTCGACGCAATGTATTCTGATTCTCTTCGGCCGATGGCTCCATCTAAAAGAATGTGCAAGATTATTACTGATTACAATCCAAAGCTATGTAATACATACTTCTTCCCAGAATTTTCTCATTCTTTTTTTATCATCATCCGAAAAGACTTTATTTATTGGGTCTACGAGACTTTTTTCGGAGAGGTTGACAATACGATATTCAAAAAGACGATGATCTACATTTTCCATCTTTGCGATGAGGTCTTGAACCTCGGCTGATGCATTCTCGTTCTCATATTGATAATGTAAATCGTTGTCCTCACTATTAAACTGAATTTGAGCTTGACGGGGAAGGGGAGTGCGAGGTGCATCCGATTCGGCTGTCTGGTCTGGAATCCTCTCAAGCTCGACAGAAGTTTCAAGAAAGATGTTCGTAAGAGAAACTGGTATAATCTCAGAGTCGGAGTCTGACGAGAAATCCTCTTTGTCACATGGTAGAGAGTTGATTGTTCTGATCTGTGCATTTAAAAGGTGGTCAAATGATTAAAAAAGTTTTGCTAGCTAAATTTTAGATTATATACTGACCTTAGTTGGCGGAGTTGATAATCCTTCTCCATAATCGTCCGCATTTCGTCTTTTTCTTTCTAATACTTGAATATGCTCATTTAACATATTAGATCTTATTTGACAAGCATTT